AAATTATCAATTCAAAAAAATATTTGTCAGATGAAAATGGTTATTATCATCATCCAAAATCATATTTTACAAGTTGTTCACTAAATGAAATTATTGAACAAGTTAATGATAATGGTAATTATTTGATTGTTAATTTTAAAATTCAAATATTAACATTAACATTAACATTATTATGTCATAAATTATCATATTCATAGTTTCTCATCTAATGGGTATAAACATTTAGGTTTATTTGATCATTGGAATTTTCACATTAGTCCTTTTATTATTATAAAAAAGTAATTTTACATTAAAAATTTTTTAATGATGTGATCAATTTATTTATTAGATATTAGTTATTACTTATATATATTGTTGATGTATTTTAAGCTCCTCATAGTTCAGGCTAATTATAGGGATTGGAAAAAACTAAATCTTCAGTTAACCAGTCGGTTAAATAATCACAACTTAATGGCTTATTTAGTTAGATCATATGAAATTATTTATTTGTTAAATGGTATTTAGTATTATCATATAACTATTTATATATATATCATCATCTAATCATTACAATAAAAATTTTTTCTTTTCTAAAAAATAAAATTTATGTAAAAAAGATGCTCTGCCACCAAAAAAAAACATTTTTAGTGTCAATTGATTCAATTGATTTTTTAAATTAAATACTCACTAATGCTAACTAATCAGAATCAATAACAATCAAACAATGCTTTTCTTAAAATGTAAAATAAACAAATTTATTAATTTATTTCAACAATTAATTAAAGAACATATGCCTAAAAGCTTCCCTTTTTCAATAAAACCACGTTTCAATGAATCTATGGACACATAAGAAAATAGCATTTAAATATACCAAAATTATTAAAAATTTTAAAAATTCGTTGTTAATTATAATTCGTTGAAACAAGATTTGTTGACCATACTAATAATTCCAATAATTAATATTTTTTTGCCGACTATCCAATATGCATGGAAAAAACCTTTCAAAAATTTAAAAAGAAATTCAATTTCACCTGATAGACTCTCCATCTACTCATCTCTTACTACATTCTCTAATTCATCAACTCAAAAACAACGGTCCATCTACTAGAAAAATGTATTCATCAACCCCAAGATCATGTTCATAAGAACTTGTTCTCCAACCTCAATGTCGTGTTCACCTTCTACTAGAAGAACACTTTCACCAACTCAAATATCATGTTCACCTACCAGAAGATCAGCTTCGCCAGCTCAAAGATCATGTGAAGAACAAATCATGATCAATTTAGAAGTGATGAGATAGCTTAAGTTTTAAGCCTCCTTTTAAATGAAGCTTGGACAATAATGGCAATAGTCTCCCAGTAAAACTCGGTTGGTTAATCCTGGCCCTGTTATCGGAACACATTCCAGGTTATCAAAAAGCAAAAGAGCAATTCACGAAAAAATGACTCTTAAATTTGAGCCTTCACATAGTTTAAAGTTCTATATTAGGACAAAATGCTCCAGATTTCAACTGGTTTAGGAAATTCATTACAGCTTGATCTCACTCACACTTGGGCTGAAATACAAATAACGCATCACAGTAAATCATGTTGGCGATAGACCAAGTAGTGGTATAATCAAGCTTTTAATTAGTTGTTTATTAATTGGTTTTATTTAAATAGATAGAAAGATCCTTCGTGGAGCTGCTGAGATAGGAAAAGAACAACCCTCTCATGTGAAAATCAAAAGGAAGCGTTGGTATGACGATGATAATTATGCTGATAAATCTAAACCACCAGAGATGATTGTCCAGGTTCTTAACGTACAAACTGGAAATAGAAGTGGGCGAATCAAGCACAGCAGTTCAAGAAAGGACTTCTGCTATTATCAATAGCATTTTGGGAGAAGGCCTAAAGAATTGGGAAGACGGAGAAGAGGAGAAAAAGAAGAAAATTATTATATATATTAAATTGTTATCTATATTTAATATGTATTGTTAGTATTAATATTAAATTGAATAAATATGTTTAGCTATCGAAAACCAATATACCAATGATTATTATAAAATAAATATAAAGCTATTGGTAAACTGATAAACACATTGAGGTATCAGCTAAAAAAAATTTATCTGATACTTCAATAATATCTTGTTGAATCGTATTATATATATTAATGCTATAGATAATTGCAAGTAAGATTTTATTAAGCTTTTAACAATTATCGTGTACATACCATACCAGTTTATCTAAAATTGATACCCCGACACCCCACCTATATCAGTGTTGTGACCAGAAACTCTTTTGGCTTCCCGAAACGTTTCGGAAAATGAACTTACACTAAGCAGAAATCTAAACCTAAACCTAAACCTAAACATAAACTACTAACCTAAACTAGTTTCGGGTGGTTTCTGTTAGTTTCTGTTTCTGGTTTTCCCTAAACTCAGAGTTTCAGGTCACAACACTGACCTATATGTAACCTAATCTGTCAAAGATCAGTAGCGATTAAATTTTTTTAAAGTATCAGCAAATATAGGTTACATACTGTATAAGTGAGGCATTGGGATATTTTTGCCTTTTGCTCTTAATATCCCTTTTCCATGAATTTATCAAAACTTCACATACTACTTATTTTGTCTAATAATATTTTTGATCAAGAGCATGCTAGAATTAATGTTGAATTATTGATAAAGAAATTAACTTACCAATGCATTCGATGGATGGACAAATCTACCGGATAATCTATTTGATTATTGTTTAATTACTGAATATTTTTGGTGTTTTAAGAATTATTCCCTTATCATAGTGACACATTTCTTGATGATGAATTATTAAAATTGTAAAAGGTATTGGTCCTGAAAAATTGGCTGCAGATGACAAATAGATCATAAAATTGTCGATGGGTAAAAAACATTGAGAATGTGTGTTGTTTATTCATGGCAGTATATGGTAATTTTTTACAATAATAAATAAGAAAACGTAAACAGGTCATTCCGTTCTAACATTAATATTAATGAGTAAATTTTATTATTTCAATTAATCCATATATTAAAAATAAAAGCGTTGACAATCATTATAACTTATTGGATCTTCTGATGATAAATTAAAAAGCAATTACAACAATGGGTTTTTTGTAAAAATATTAATAAATTTACATCTTTGGCGACTGGCTTTTTACTTTTACATAGAGAGAACGAAACCCGAGTATAATGATGGTACTTCATACCAAAAACATCTGAAGGTACCGAACTAGATAACAATGATAAAAATGGATACTGACTGACTGGTTTGACTGGTTAGGCAATGAATGAAATGGTGTGAAACAGGAGGTATTACATTAAAAAAAAATGATTACCAAATTTGGTCACATAGCTCAAAATAGATATCTTGAGCCTCTCGAAGCCCTATAATTCATTTAAATTGTATTAGTGTGCATTGTTTACATATTGTGTAGCACTTGGCTACTTTAAAAATTCATTATTTTTATCGAAATGTATTAACATCCAACTTTCCTTTTTTCCTCTTTTCCTCTCCCTATCTATCACTCGCACGAAGCTACTACATTCATTACAATTATTTATTTAATTTTTATTTTTATTTATAATGTCAAGGTTTTTAACATTTTCAACATTATTAATATCATTATTTATAATATTTTTTCCTGAACAAATTTCATCACAATGCATGTCCTTTAATCCGTTGGATCGGAATATAAAATTCCTCCCATGTCCATTAACCAAAGGCCAAACAAATAAACACAATCAACAAACTTCACCCGGACAAAAATTTTCAGTGTCTTTAAAGTGTACAGCTGATCAGCAAACTTGTCAACAAGTTCAAGGCAGTTTCGATGCTGCTGGAAAATTTATAACAAATACTTTTATTTTGAATACAATCACTGTGAATGCTAGTTTTATATCATTTTGTGAGGGACAACCTAATTGTTCAGAAGATAATATTTTAGGTATTATATAGTATTTATAAATAAATATTATCATTAATAATTAATTAACTAATCTAACTAATTAATTAATTTATGAATTAGGAGCGGCAGCACCAGAGAGATTTATTCCAATGTTAGATGATGACGGGATACAAAGATTGTACCCACAAGCATTAGTAAAGCAATTTAATTATGAAACACATCCAGAGTATGGACAATTTGATATTATAGCATTATTTAATTCAGATGCTGCATGGTGGTTTTCATCATCACCATCTGCACCGATAAATTCAACTCAATACGACTTTTTATATACTTTAGTACATGAATTGTTTCATGGGTTAGGGTTTGGTTCTTCGTGGGATGAACATTATTCTGGTATATTAACTCCAGTTCCCGGACCAAATCCTTTAACAGCCAATGGTTCATCAACATCAACATCAGTAGATTTAAATGATAATGATTATATCAAATTTTATGAATGGGCTTTTGACAAATATATAAAACTCTTGAAAGATGGAACAAATCTTACCACGTATGCTCAAGAAATAAATAAATTTTTCACTGGTGAATATACAAACATTACGGGATCACAGTTCGAACCTAAATTTAAAGGCTCACCTCAATACAACATCGCAAAGAACATGGATCTATTGGCTGTAACAGCAAACTCACTTGGCTTTATTCCTACCATTAATTTTACAAATGTAAATGATTCAGCAGTGATATTAGAAACTTCATTAATACCTTACAGGAGCGGTTCTAGTATAAGCCATGTAGACAAAAAATTATATGCAAATACTTCTGATTTTTTAATGAAATATGATTCTGAGACAGGTGTTTCTTTGGATCAATTGGTCTCAAGAGGCGGGAATTATTCTGGTGGACCAATTGGACCAAAATTAAAATTGGTTATGGAAACTTTGGGGTAATTATTAAAAAAAAAGTTTTTTTTTTTTTTAAAAAAATTTATTATTAAATATTTATATTTTATTACTAGGTATGCTACATTAGAAAATCCAAATCCTTACAAACCTCAGATAATTCCTTCAAATAAAAATAATAATAATAATAGTAATAATAATAACAGTGATAATAGCCAAAATCCAGATAAAAAATCTTTGGAAAATAGCATTATATTTAATAATAAAAATAATAGTTATATCGTTATTTTTATAATAAATATAATTATTGCTAATTTACTTTCTTCGAATCACTAAGAAGACTTTAATAGAATAGAATAGATTAGATTAGATTAATCAATATTTTTAAAAAAAAGAAGAAAGATAATAAAAACACAATACATTCATGTCTGGTGTAAGTAACAATAATATTAGTTTAAATTTTAAAGAGTGATTGATAATATCAAGTAGCAAAGATCTATGCTAAAAAAATATTCTCTACATAATAAATAGGGAATGGTGGTTATAGAATCTTTCGTATTATATTACTTAATTATAATGAAATCCAGGGTGTCAAAATTTATAATCTGCTATTGACACCACTTATAAGATAGGCTTTACCATTACTAACTACTGAATGCTAACGATGCGCCAGATATTATTAATATTAATATTAAGAAGTGAAGATTAATGGGTGCGATTTTTTAAAAAAGAAAAGATTTTTTTTGCTTCTAGAATTTTACTTCATTTGATAAGACAATGAAAGAATTGATCGATATGGTGCATGCATGGTATTTTTTTACCAAATACAAATACAAAATAAACAATTAATCCGATAGAATAATTTTAATTCTTGCCTTTTTTTTTGATAAACCCTGAACATCTTTTCTCCCTAAAAGGTGACATTTCCATACATGAGGTATCATGTTTTTGATTAAAATAAAGATTATTTCCTCTTTCAAAGAATACAAAACGAATAAAAGTTAAAAGTTGAAAAGTTTTCAGAAATTTTTTTTTATAAAATAGTCGCGTACTTAATGTCACGTGTGGTTAAAGTAATTTTCACATTTTTTATTATAAATTGTATTACAATATCTAATCGTTCGCTGAGAAAGTAATGTTTTTTATTTTTGTTTATAAATTGATTTGATAAATAAATAGTTGTTTATAAATTTTTATAATTTGATTAATTTCACCAGATTATCTTTATTAACTCCTACCAAAAAAAAAATCTTTTTTTTTATCTTAAATAGATTTTAAAAACAAAACATTTTATCAAAATTCTTCCCATTTTTCAAACAATCATAACAACGATAAAACAAATAACAAATAATATCATAAACAAATAGCAAATAACAAATAAAGATGACTGAAATTTATCCAGAATCAAGATTAACTGATTTTGTCGAAAGACCAGACTATGGTACTAAAGGAAGAGCAATACATGTCAGAACAAACTTTTTCAGAATTACCTCTTTACCAGAATCGAATATCATTCACTACGATGTTACAATTTCACCAGACGTACCACCTGTGATAAATAGAAAAGTATATGAAGAATTTGAAGCACTCCATAGAAATGATGCTTTAGGTGGAATAAAACCAGTTTTTGATGGTATAATTTTTTGTGTTTATATAAAAATAAATAATAAAAAATAATAACAAAATGACGTGTTTTTATTTGTATTATTTTGTTTATCCAAATTATTTTAAAAGATTTTCATATGTTTGTGTACTAAAACTATCGATTTTTAAAATTCTAAGGTCGTAAAAATGTTTTTTCGCCAAGACCTTTAGCCTTACATGAAGATGCAGGAACTTTTGATGTAAATCAATGATCACGATAAACATTTTGATTTGGATCTGATCGATCAATAAATTTCAATAATCCACATGTCGTATTTTGATCAAATTAGGTAACTATTCCTGAAGATGATAGTATTACAACTAGCAAACGTCCTCCTCGAATTTTCAAAATTAAAATAAGGAAAGTAGGCGTCATCAACATGGATGAACTCATTCAATATACAGAAAGAAAAGGTCGTCTAACTCCTAGTGTTTTGACTGGTAAAAAACAATTGATTGATCTAATCATAAAATTTAATATTTTAATATTTCTATTAAATAAACAAATAGATTAATAAGTTATTGATTGTCTTATTTAAATATAACAATTTTATTAATAAATGTATTTATTATTTATTTAATGATTAGCATTGATGGCACTTGATGTTCTTATCAGGCATCAACCTTCTATGAAATATATCACCGTTGGTCGATCATTTTTCACACCTACTGAAGCTACACCTCTTTTTGGAGGTTTGGAAGTTTGGAGAGGCTTTTATCAATCTGCTAAGCCTGGCCAAAGTAAATAATCATTATTTATTTTTTTATATTGATATTTTTTCTTTGCTGAATCATTAAATATATATCTCCTTCCTCCCCAATTCCAATACAATTATAGATAGAATGTTTATCAATATTGATCTTAGTGCAACTGCTTTTTATGAATCATGTCCATTAATTGTAATGGTTACAAAGATTTTGGGCCGTCGTAACCCTGAAGATCTTAGAAGAGGAATGAATGATAAAGATCATCAGAGACTTGAGAGAGCACTCAAAGGCTTAAAAATACGCGTTGTTCATCGTGGTGACACTACTGCCAAAAGAAAATTTAAAATCAAAGGAATTACCCCCACTCCTGCAGACAGAACAGTCTTTAATAGCGCCGAAGGTCAAATGAATGTTGCAACATATTTCGCCAACACATACGGTCGTCGTCTTAATCAACCTTTTCTTCCTTGTGTTGTTGTGAGAAACGACGTGTTCCTTCCAATGGAAGTTTGTGAAATTGTCGAGGTAAATAATTAAATAAATAGATCAATTTATAAATTTATACGCGTGTACCTATATACACATTAATCAATATATTTCTTTCTTTTATTTAAAAGAATCAAAGATTTTTACGAAAATTAAATGACAAGCAAACTGCTGATATGATTAAATTTACCTGTTTACAACCACATGTCCGTGCAAATAAGATTTTAAACGGAATAACTTTGCTTAATTACCGAGACAATGAATATTTAAGACAATTTGGCCTTAGAGTTAATGGTGAAATGGAAGTGGTACGTCAAACCTGTTTTAATATGTTAATCAATCATTATTATAATCACCATTATTAATATCATTCATATTTGTTATTGTTATTGTTATTATTAAAGATTCCAGCTAGAATTTTACCAACGCCAACCGTTCAATATCATGCTTCATCCCGAGAATCTAATTTCCAACCAAGAGATGGTGTTTGGAACTTAAGAGATAAAAAAGTTGCAACCGGTTCTACATTGGGTTCCTGGTCTGTGGTTGTGTTTAGTTCTGAACGTGATCTTCCACTTTTATCCATTAAAGCATTTATTAGAGAACTTGTCGTGACATGTCAAAACACTGGAATGGTATTATAAATATAATATTAATGAATATTAATAACCTTATTCTTCTTTTTTATTGTTCTTAATTAATAATTAATTAATTAATTAAAAAAAACTATGATTAGAAAATTCCAAATGTAAATCCTCCGGTGGTTCACGCAAATCCTCAAGGAGACATAGAAGGAACACTGAAACAAGCATGGCTTCGTGCTGGTAACCATGCTAAAGCTCAGCCGCAGCTAATATTATGTGTTTTACCAAACACGGGTGTTGATTTATATGCAGAAATAAAGCGAGTATCCGATACAGTTATTGGCGTTGTAACACAGTGTGTTCAAGGACGTAATACGCTGGCACCAAAAAAACAATACTGTGCAAATGTTTGTCTCAAGATGAATGTCAAACTTGGTGGAATGAATTCCTTTTTAGATCCCAATGAAATCCCATTTATTAGTGAAGTACCGACAATTCTGATGGGTGCCGATGTTACCCATCCATCACCAGGCAATAATCTTATTGTTATTAAATTAATATTTAATTATGTTATTATTTATTCTTCTTGTTAAGATTTTTCTATATTTATGATATCTAGGATCGACAAATAAACCATCTATTGCTGCATTATGTGCATCTATGGATGCCAAGGCATCAAGATACGCTGCTTCGATTAGAGTCCAGAGTGGCAGAACTGACATTATTGCTGACTTGTCAAGTATGGTGAAAGAGTTATTGAAAACATTTTATCAAACATGTGGTAGAAAACCAGATAGAATATTATTTTATCGAGATGGTATTTCTGAAAGTCAATTTTCCAAAGTTTTGAAGGAAGAAATAAATTCCGTTAAAGGTATATATGTGTGTGTGTGTGATAATGATAATAATGATAATGATGATAAATTGATCAATTAATACAAAAATGCATGCAAATATATTCATAATTATAATTAGTTGCGTGTCAAGCACTCCAAGCTGATTATTCGCCAAAGATCACCTTCGTAGTTGTTCAAAAGCGTCATCATACTCGATTTTTTGCAATGGATAAGAAAGATGCTGATAATACTGGCAATTGTTTGCCAGGAATAGTCGTGGAGCGTGATATCACAAGTCCCGTAGAATTTGATTTTTGTAAGTCGTATTTTATTTTATTTATTTATGATTTACATACCATTCATATATTCATATTCGTTTTATATATATATATCATAGATTTACAAAGTCAAGCAGGCTTACAAGGAACATCTCGCCCAACTCATTATCGCGTGCTTTATAATGAAAATAACCTTCGAGCAGACCAGTAAGTTATACTACTGTTGTTGTTGTCATTATTATCATTATTAATCAATAAATATTCTTTTTATAATACAGAATTCAAACTTTATCTTATAACTTGTGCTATTTATACGCGAGATGTACACGATCCGTCTCATTGGTACAGATCAATAATTATTGTCTTTGTCATACACTTTTCTTCTGAAACAATTAATGTTGTATTAACACTAATGAATAAAATTGATAGGTTCCACCAGTATATTATGCCCATTTAGTATGTAATCGAGCACGTTTCCATTCTCGTGCACAATGGAGTGACACTGAATCATCTGAAAGTGGAGGTATCGCTTCAACGTTTAGTGTTGTCAAACCCGAATTACAAAAGGTAACCATTATACGTATGGTTTTGTTATTACAATTGGATTGGAATTTATTATTTATTTATTTATTTATTTATTTTGTTTAGGTCATGTATTTTATGTAAGGGATAGAAGAGGACAGAGACGATGATGAAAATTTAAAATTTTTTATATTTATTTCAAAGTATTTTTTATGTAATGGATAGAAGAGGAAGGGTAGAGACTATGAAAAGATTTTATAATTCAAATATAGATAGAGTTCGCTAATATTTATTATTACATTTAAAAACTTCAAGTTAAAATTTAAAAATTTAAAAAAATTATAATACTTTAAAATTTAAAAAAAAATCAAGTTATTTATATATTTAACATGATAGATAGATATATAGATTAATTATTATTTTTATTGGCATCATTTTGTTAGCATTCATATTTTTAAATTTTTAATTTATTGTTAATCATTATTGCATTACGCTAATTAAAAAAATTTTATATATTTATATATTTAAACAATGAATGATACAAATCATCGTAATGAGTAGATGGCTGTTGATCTGACATATTATCCATTTCATAAGTGAATTAATTTCTTTTTTTTTTTTAAAAAGATAATTCAATAATTTACTGTATTAATAATATATTATATAGATATGTCAAATTCATATAGAAAATTATATGACACATAATAAAGATTTAATGAGAATTCTTTTTCCTTTTTATTTATGAACTTCTCTTGTAATATTTCTATTTCAGATTTATTTTATTCTAGAAAATATATAATAATTGATTAGAATAAATATAATTTTGCTATTACATAATGATGATAAAAATACAGATTAAAGCAACAAATTATATTAATAGAATTAAAAACCCATAATGGTACTAACAAATTTATCCACTTTGTCAACATCTTGTCTTCAATTATCATCAATAGTTTTTTAATACCAATATCTATTTGAATAGGGTGATTTTGTTAAGAGTTTCAAGTGATTGTTCTTTTTCATCATTATTGAATAATGGCAATCTTTTGAATACAAGTTCAATTGAACTCAAACCAACGATATTTGGTGCTTCAATTTCAGAATTGAAACAATCCGACATATCCAATTTGTTGAAGAACCCACTTTTTATTGGTAGTGGCTAAAATTAAAAGATATTGTCCCTAAAATGATTTGTTGATTATTATATATACATACATGTATATAAATATAAATACAACTTTATTTACTAATAACTACTTACTTTAGGTCTTTTTTTGAGTAAAACCAATAATGTTTGTAAGATGGAATTAAAAAATATTGGTCCAATAGTACCCAATCTGTATGTTTTTTTTTATTTATAATATAACAAATTAATAATGGTTATTCTAGTTAAAAATCTTAATTTTCTAAAAATTAGCTAATCTTTCAATGTTATCCATGACTATGACAATTGATGGTGATTTATAAGAATCATTAAACACCTATACAAATCATAAAATTCATTTTAATCTACACCATAAAAACTCTAATCAATAAAATAAATTTAAAAAGGTAATCAATCAATACTTTGTTTATTGCAGTTATTTTAGATGATTTTGAATATCCAACCATACTTTCTGGTGAAATTAATTTTATAAAAGGAAATTCTGATGTCATTGCCATTGTAGCTGTCAATGCTGTTTTACCACTGCTAGAGGGTCCTAATAATATATCAAATAAAATCAATATATTGAAATATATTAAATATATTATCATGTATGTTATAACTTTAAAAAAAATACTATACCATATAGCAGAACACTGACAAGTGGAGTTATGGAACTTTTTTTAACTTGTTCAATAAGAAGTCATCCACCTGATAATATCTTCTAAACAAATAAAAATTATATAATAACACTTGAGAAATATATATATATAAAATTTGATTATATTTTAATTCTTTACCTCAATATGTGATGTGATGCAAATAAGATAATTTTATTTTAGATGCACTGTTTCAACTCTTTGTTACTGACACCAAAAGCTGGATGCACTTCATCCAATGCATGCTAGAAAATTATTTCTATTCACTTTCATATCTTCAACATCTGGCATCACTCCTGCAAGTGTTCCTATTTTAAAATGTCTATTAAATGCAAATGAACTAGCACTTTAAACAAGTCTGTTGATTTCTGCTTCACTAAAATTTTTGGTCAAACTGGCTAATTCCTCAAGTTTGACATCTTTATCCGAGATATCATTTATTTTTGTCTATAATTTAAAATGTAAATAAATAATAATTTGCTTATTATTTATTAAACAATTTGTTTTTACCTTTGAAGTATGAATTTTCAATATTTGTAATCTTTCTTGTTCATCTGGTAAGCCAATTTCCATATGAACTTCCAAATGACCTTTTAAGAACCAAAAAAAAAAATCATTATAAAAAAAGCCTTCATTATTATTATTATTATTCTCTTTTTATACAGATTAAAACCAACCAGGATGAAGTATGGCCTCATCATTCAATTAGTCATACCAAAAATTATACATTGTTCAGTTGTTCAACACCATCCATCTATATAATTTCCCAATTTTAATCTTTATAAATTATCATAGTTATCATTTAAAAAAATGCCTTTGCCAATAATTGATTTACAACACTATCACTGACACCAACTCTACTACCAAAACCATGTTGTTTACATTAATTCATCAAATATTATAATATGTCAAGCCTCTTTTTCATTTTTATCTACACCAATTCCCATTGAATAACACCAGGCAACACTATATAATCCCAACTATTACCTTCCTTTGTACAATCTTTAAATAAACCAAATATTTTTTTCTAAATATTTCCTCAACTAATTATAATTCCAGTTAAAAATATTTTTTATTTTATCCTTCATAAGAAATTTTCATTATTGTTACAAACTCTTCATATGTTAGATTCCTAATTTTTCTACTAAACTAGGAGGGTAAATTCTAGAAGCAAAAGCATAACGAAATATCATACTAATTTCTGAATTTAGGCCACCAATTCCCATATCCTCAAATTTAAAATCTCTTGTCTTTTTTAAAACCCGTTATTTAAAAATTGTAAAATAAAGGGTCAATAAAATTTCATATCCAAACACCCACCCCAAAATTTTAATTATAAATTTACTATTCTTCTTGTACCACACATTACGCGTCTTTTTTTTTATTTATTTTTAATTTTACTCATTTGTTTTGTTTTGTTATGCCTTTATTTTTTATATAATAGCCTAAATAAACGTGGAGCAAAACTTGTAGTCTTTTATATGATAGGTAATTATTCAACATCCTTTACAACAACTATTTTTTGAGAGCAAATACACAAGATTATGATTGTTTGTGTTATTTGTTATCAATATTAATTAGAGATCTCTATCTCATAGATACTTGGACAATTTGGAAACACGGAAACACCAAACAATTTAATATACAATTTTGATTACTGGAAGCTTATAGTTAAACCATTTCTTCTTATTCCTTGAGAGCACATAAGGCTAATCGGATTGCCCTCCTAAGATATAAATGCAATTGAACTTCAGAAAGAAGGAGGTGGAATAGATCTCAGGTTCATGATGGTATTGCATTGGCATTATTGTCAAGGAGGCTGTTAAAGCCTTTCACTTGTCTGAAGTCTTTCCAACATGCGGGGGGCACCAATAACTGTGGTAGGGGCGGCTCCGCAGTTATGGGTTGCAATATATAAGCATTTAGCGTGCAACTGCGTGTTGCAGAGGAAACTTAATCAAATCTGACACATGTAATCATCAATATCAGATTTGCTCATTTTATTTTTTTTTCAATGACTTTTAGGGAACAATCGTGCATGGGATCAAATTTGTGTGAGTGGGGTGAGAGTTTTGGTACGAAATTCATACAGATTTCAAATTCATGCACAAGGAACAAGCGGGGATGCACCAAGGGTTTATTTTCTAACTCTGCCAATAATGTGGGCTTTTTCCAAAATTGATTTCTTAAATTTCATTTCTGCATGGTCCTGGTATTATCATTACTTGGGTGATGCAATTTATCAATTTATTTATTTGTTATTACTGAAATTATTATTACATGTATTTGATCTATAGATAAGGAAATTCCATATGAATTAATAAAGTATACATATCATGAGAAAAAACGTATCAAATTAACTGAAATTACCATAACTCAGTCAATATCTGTCTGTTTTGGATAAAAACAACTACCATTTGAATTCTCTTGATGAGATGTCTAATTCATAAAATTCTAATCACTAGTTAGTGAGATATTTTTGTTTACTGTATATCGTTATGAACATTGAAACACCATTATATGCTGGAGTGAAATGATCTACTAGCGTGTTATTGTAATAAACCTTTTACTACCACCTTGGATTCATTGTCTTTTTGCCAAAAATGACTGGATCACATTACCAAAATACAATTTCAATGCCAATATTGAATCAATTTTGTCAAGATTTAAATAATCATAAAAGAAATATCATCTACGCAAATGATGCAATTGGGAATTTTTGCTTAGAGTCACGATTAATGTTGTTTGACGGAATGTTCCCAAAGTTGTAAAAATATTACGTCAAATTCGCTGCCATTAAGTCAAAAATGACGCAAGTAAAATTGCTTTAGAGGGAGGCTAATAAAATATAAAAGCTCACAAAAAAAACTTATAAATATATATATATTCCAGGTCTCTTTTATATTTCTTGTGTATCCCAATTTCTCTTTTGTTTCATCAGGAGACAAGTAAGT